ACCTTTCCTATCCTCTACTATCCCCCCTCCCCTCCCCTCCCATCTTCCTTCTCTACCCCATCTACTGTATTTCATTTCTCTCCTTGTTTTCATATGCCTAGTACTCTTAATCTTCAAAGGTTCCTAACAGTCGCAATTCTTGGTCCTTCCTAAAGCCTGCCTGAATCAGATGTTAAGTGACTTTGAGGGAGGCTACCTCCCCTGATAGGTGTCTAAGCCAGGATTCAAACTCTGTCAACTAGCCCCTAGCCCCAAAGCTGGAGTTTCTAGCATTGTACTGCCCTGTCTCCTCCCATCTCCATTCTCTCTTCATCTGTGTATGGGAATGGAAATGAAAACAGAGCCTTGTCCCCCCCTCCTTTTATTTTTAACCTGCTGCTGAGATTGTGGGCATTGGTGACTCAATTTTTTTTTCGCCTGTGTTTTTCTGTGTATGATCACAAAAGTGCAATAAGTACTGATTTTGTGGTTGCAAACACATTTTATTGGGCAGGTGAATCCATAATTATGGGATCTCCTGCTCTGGTTTTCTAAAAGATGTTATCTGTATGACAATTCAGATGGACTGCCCTTGGTTTATAGAAATCCATGTGGGTCTTTCAAATAGTTGCATAAATTATAATTTCACTGACTCACTCAAGAATGAATGGGGAGTCTAAGTGACTCCACATTTATTTATTAAACAAATTGCATATGTAGTTAAAAACCTTCCTACAAGGAAAATTCCAAGTCCAGATGGCTTCATTGGTAAATTTTATGAAACATTTATGGAAGAAGTCATACCAAATCTATGCAAATTTTCCCAGAAAACAGAATGTAGACTATAATTCATTTTACTAGGCTAGCACTACCCTGATGCCCAAATCAGCCAAAACCATTACAAAATAAGAAAACTACAGACTGACAATCTTCATGGACATGGACTTAAAAAATCTTACAAAATCTGAGCAAAACAAATATAGTAAATATACTCTACTAGAATATATTCTCAAGAAAGTGCAAAGTTCTTTTAATACTTGAAAATCAATCAATGTGCTTCACCATATTGGTGATAAATAAAGAAAAAACTTTTGACAAAATTCAGTAACAGTCATGACAAAAATCTTCAGGAGGCTAGGAACAGAAGGTTATTTCCTCAAATCGATAAAGGGCACTAATGAAATGTCTACCTTTAGCTATCATAATACTTAGTAGTGAAAAATTGTATAATTTCTCCCTAACAACAAAAAACAAGGAAAGGATACCCAATTTTACCAGTTCACTTCAGCACTGTATGTCTAAGTCTGGCCAATGTCACAAGCTAATTTTAAAAATAGAAAAGAAAGGAAGAAAAATACTTATAGATTAAAAGGAAAAGTAAATTCTCTTTAATCATAAAATACATAATTATCAATATGGTAGAATGCTATGGAATCTAAAAAAAGTTACTGAATTCTTAAGGAAATTTAGTGATGACTCAAAATACAAGTTTAATGTGTATATATCAATTATATTTCCAAATAATGGTAATAATAAGAAATTAAAATTAAATAGCAATATGATATATTTTTG